CTCTCTCTCTCTCTCTCTCTCTCTCTCTCTCTCTCTCTCTTTCTTGAGAGATTGCGCGCCTCGAGATTCAACGAAAACCGATGCGATGTCATTTCTTATCTCGGGAGATCATCTTACGTTAACGGAGATTGCATTACGTCGTTGTCGACACATACGACCGTTCTCTGTTCATAAATATGTTGAATATGATTTTCGGTGCTCGTACCGCGTTGGTTCGACAACGGAGTTAGACAATTGCACATGCACATGGAAATGCATCAGTTCGCCTGTTCCGAAAGTGATGTGATTCCGGGAAAATTTGAAGTACTACAAGCTTTTTTTTTTTATCAAACGCGGATAAAAACTGCCGCTATTCGAAGATTTTGAAAACTAAACTAGACGCTGGCTCGTAAATATGTTGAATGAGGGATAAAAATACAGAATATCAAAAGAAACAGGACCGTTGATGTACAATTAATTTAGAAGCTGGATCTTGACAGACTAATAATATTTCTGTGTATTTTCAAGTACACAAATGTCCAACCTAGTAAACTAGACACAACTCACGAATTGAGGTAGGTTCCAGGTTCGAACCCTGGGTGAGCTGATATTTTTCGTAATAAGTTCTTGACAGTAGTTAAAATAGGATGCTTATATTATATAGCATCAAAATTAAATCGATCATCGATTTAAGTAGGAGGAATTTTATGGTTTCAACCGTGTTTTAAAAACCGATAAAAAATCGGTGCACAGTTTACTGAGTTTAGAAAAAGCATACAAAATTCCATAGTACCTATATTATTATTAGTCTACCAAGATCCAGCTCGGACTGTAAATGACATTTCCTTCTAAATTAAAAATATAGAAGTTTGTTGCTCGAGAGAAATTCGAATTGTCGCAATGCTGGGATAAATAGGAGGGAATGGTCAACGGCGTAGGTGGCATCGTTTGCCGCGAAAGATCGCCTTCATAGCGCCGCGTTAGACTTTTAATTAAAAGCCTCGTTCTCCGCCGCCTCGGTATTATCGTCGCGTTCCTGCGTCCATCTACCAATTTTACTTCTCATTTACGGAGTGTGCTCATGGACAGCGCTCGTAATCGCGAGTAATATCCGCATCGCAATTACTCGCCCGTCATTCAGCGTCTCGCTTCCCGCGGTACATCTCGTTGTCTAATTATCCATCGACAAATAATCAGTACCCTGTCAATCGTTGTTAGCATAATACGCGGCAGTCGTAATTGCGCGTATCGCGGCTAATCGCGGCGCATTTGCGCGATTAAAAGTTTTTTCTCGAACGCGCATTCATACACGTGCACGTAACGGGCGGCGGTGGGCATCCAGGAATTTTTCATCAGTGATCTCCGAATAGGACAATCCCTCTGTATACTTTACAAAATTTTCAGATAACATTCTCATCTCGTGTACGCATGATCGCGGGGATTTCCCGGGCGAGAGCCACTGGCTAATTCACTGGCAAGCTGGCGTGACGATGCGTCGGGCACACGTCGACGCGCTGCACTTGCGTCGCATCGCGTCGCCGCTCGATCGCATCGCCGCGCACCGTGCGAGCAGAGCGATCGGATGAGCGCCACTGGGATGGATTTGTAGTAAGTGTAAGCAGAGCGGTACAGATGCGTCCGTCGCCGCGCACTCGGCCGCTCGCGCTGGCGCGCGCGTCCGCGCCCGCGCCACCCGCTTCCGCGCGATCCCCCCCGCGCTGTTGAATCCCGGCGCGCACCGCGAAGCCGTGATGACGCAACGGTCGAAGTGGAGGAGGTTGGATGTGTACGGGCGACGCGGACGTGTCGTGCGAATGCGCCTGTGTAAAGGCTCCGGCGCGGCCAGCTGCACGGGAGGGCCGCCTTTAAGTCGCTCTTGCGACTACGTCGCTTTCCGCGCGCGTCGTTACACTTTTCCTTTTTCTTTCTTTCTTTCTCTTTTCTTAGCTTGGCAATGTGGTTTAAAGACTTCTTAAAGATGATATTGTGTTAACGTTGATCAAGCAGGTCTTTGTTTTCTTTTTCGAAATAATTGTGACTATGCGACTGATCCTAGAATCAATCATTGTTTTTTTTTTATTAAACATTATTTTAATGTGATATAATCAAAAAAGAAAATATAATGAAAGGAGTCGAAAAATGACTTCAGGAATCAGAAAATTAATAACGTGTTCACGGTTGTTCAAGCTTGAATGATTTGAAGGACGATGTGTCACACGTCAGCGAATTTGTTTCGTTGCCTATCAAAATCTTACTCTGGGCATCGCGCAAATATCGTCGCAATTAGAAACACTCCCAAGGAATGTTAGGAACGTTCGTAACGATAATTTAAGCGATTAAAATAGCGTTCCTGGTACAGGAACACCGACTGTTTCGCAGCGTGTACTATCAGTGCGATATACACCGGTCGTACGCAATTACGGTACACCCACGGTGGTTGGAGCGGGAAGGTGGGTCCCGGGGTGGAGAGAGAAGGAGCTAAGGTTCGTTCTAGAAGTCGCGGAGTCGGGTGGCATCGGGCAGACGGCCGGCGGCGTGGCGCGGCGCGGCGCGGTGCGGCGCGGAGCAGAGCAGAGCGGAGCAGAGCGGAGCGGCCTCGGGTGCAGATCGGAGCGAGTCAGGCGCGGCGGCGGAGTCGCGGTTGCGCCAGCCAAGTGCCTCGAGTCGGCCCGAGGAGGACGACGAGCGGTGTCGAGTCCGGCCGAACGTAGCCGACGCCGTCGCCGTCGCCGTCGTCGCCGCCGCGCGTGCCTCCCCGCGAGAGGAGAGCGCCAGGCCGCCCAGAGCCCAGAGCGGTCGCGGCGCACGGCGCACGTAGTCAGTGGCTGGCGACTTCTCGGAGCGTCAGGTTCTCCATATCGGGGGGATGTGTCGTCGCTCCGCGTCTCCTGGCGAACCACGTGCGCAGCGGTGACAGCTCGTCCTGCGCGACGTAACGACACGGGCGGGGAGGGGGCGTCCTCGGCCTCGCGGCGAAAGACTCGTCGCGAGATGTGACTCGATACTTCGGAGTTCGACGAGTCCCCTCGCGCATTATTTCGCTTTTGGCGAGATCGAGACTGATGCGTGCACGCGTAAAAGAAACACTTTTACGAAGAAGCGAAATTTATGAAAGCTCGCCTGACAGCAGTGCGTCGATTTTGATTGATTTACCGATTTAGTGGGTTTTCATGAACGATATAACATGTTGAAATGTCATATTAATTCAGTGATCTGATAATGGGGGAATCGTCACGACAAATCCAACTGGAGCTCCCCAAAATTTTCAATATCGCGCGGCATGCACCCTCCATAAGAACTGAAATCGAATCTGAAATACGTGGAATATACAATTTTTAACGAATTTCGCAAAGTGTCACTTTTTTAAATGCTCGACGCGAACACGAATAAAAGTGAGTTTTCGACGCGGTAGGATTCGTGGACATGTCATGACGTTTGTCTTAAACTTGTCGCGATAACTTGGCCAACGCCGCTTATCATTACCGAGAGACTTTCATTAGCAACTCTTATCGGGCTACGAGAATAACCTGACCGTGCAGCGTAAACATTATGAATGCAGGGATCTTTCAATCGAGCGAATCGATTTTGTATTATCATGCCGGCACGTCGTGGTCGAGGCGGCGCGTCGTTGTAGTCGCGTGACGCGCGCGGGAAACTCCGAAACGATATCTGCGCGACGCTAAAGTCATCGGTTAAGAATACCTGAATAAAAAAGTGAAATTTTGAGAATGAGAATGCGATACCATCGCGAATTGTCCTTCTGAGAACGTAGTAAAAGAAAAAAGAACAAAGAAAAACAACGTCTAAGGGAGAAGAGGACGAGGGCACTTTCTGAAACACGGAAAATCCGTGAAACGCGCAGCGGACGAGCGACTGAACGAAGACGGAAAAAAGAGGGAAGAAAAGAGTTGGCGGCGAATCGTGGAAAGAGAACGGAAACGCGAAGGGGGAGAAATAGAGATTTCTGGGCACGCGCACTCCACCTGCTAGCGTGTAGTGGCACGCGCCATACTCACCGCCTCCTCCCTCTGCCACCCTCGTCGTCACTCACGTTGCCCCTGCACCCCTCTCCCTCCCCCCTCTCTCTCTCTCTTTCTATCTCTCGTTTTCCCCGTCTACCCCCAGCTCTGTCCTATCTTCTCTTCTCTCCCTTTTTCGTGTGCCCTCCTGGCCCTACCGTGGCAGCCGTCGCCGCTTCTCCTCCCCCTCTCCTGTAGGAATCCCCTCCCGTGTTCCTCTCTCACGCGTGCCGTGGCTACGAAGAGACCGGGACGCGCGGGAGTCAATCGCTCGCGGTCTTCGACAAGGCGAACAACCAACGTCTTTGCACTCTTTTCCTCTTCGCTTTCCTCTTCATCAGCGCGTTTGATTTTTCGAATATTCGCCAAGTCCTCTTCCTGTCGATCTGTTAAACGTACGTGTCGGCAAACGGACACTTTTCCCTCTCTTTCTGTGTGAGCTTTTCCTTGTTGCGGTCTTACACGTGCACCGCCGGTAGCCGTAAACGACAACGTTATTTCAGTCCCTCTCTTCAGTCGGCTTTCGCGCCATGTGCCGCGAGTGGACGAGTGCGTGAGTGCCTTCCTCAGCAAATTAAACGTACGGCCGATCCTAGTGGCCCCCACGTACCGTTCGTCGTTTCGTTTAAAGGGGCGCAGCGACTACCTGCTCGCTCGTGGGCGTCGGATGGCTGAGACGCCGCACGACGAGAGTCGTCAGCCGATGTTTGCGTATGAAAGAACCCGGTCGCCCTCCTCCATCTCATCCTCCTTCTGCTGCGCGTCCATTGCGTGGGGGGAGGCACGCGCGATCCCTGTACTGTAAACCGAGCGAGCAACGGAGCAACGGGGAGGACGACGACGACGGCGACGAAGACGATAACAACGAAAACACGTTGTACCGGCAACGGAGGGCGCGCGACGGAGGGCCACGAGGAGAAGCCGAACGAGAGAGGCCGAGAGGGAGAGAGCAAGAAGACGCGTGAGAAGACGGCAGGAAACGGAAAAGAGCGGGGCACGATAGAGTGGGAAGCGACGCGTGCTTAAACGCGTCGTTTCTACCATCGCGGGCACGAAAATAGTCTCGCGAGAGAGTAGTTAGGCAGGAGGCGCGCGAACACCGGATCGGAACACCGACGAACGAACGAACGAACAAAACACCGACGCGGCGAAGGAAGGGGTGGGCAGGCGTGCAAGAAGAGTGAGGCCTGATATAACAGTCCGGCGTTTCGCGCGCGGTGCGAGTTTCAGCAAGCGGTGACTGGAATCGCGACGACGGGACGGTTCTGCTCGGCTCGTCGGTGAGGGGAGGTCGAGAGGACACTCTACGAGGCGTACGAGAGCGCGCGCGATTAGTCAGCTATACGATCGTGATATCGCGCGCGGCGATACGCGTCGCTTTTAGTCTCCTGCCGCCCCGCCGAGAGGAGTTGGAGTCGTCGCGCGAACGATCAGCTGTTCTCGCCGGAGTCACCGTGTTCACCGCGAGTCGCGTCTCACCGCGCGACCCGACCGCTCGCCCGCTCGCCGACAACGATCGTCGCGAGCGAGGGGGACCATACAGCCGCGTCCCGTTGGACCCCGGGAATCCGCGCCGCGTGCATTCCGTGCGTCGTCGTTCGGAAAACCACCTGTTGACGATTTACGAGGGAAAATCGAAGCGCACGTTTGCCGCCGACGACGACGCCTCCACCTCCGCCACCGCCGCCTCCGTTGCGATTTTCTTCGCACGCCCATATCCGTTCCCACGCTCGTCGAGTCGGGGAGAGACCACTACGGTGCCGGATCATTTTCTGGAACGAAACCACGTCATGCCCGAGACCTGCGATGCGAGGCGATAGGCGCGAGCCATCAATAACGAGGATGCGCGTGCCTTCTCGACAAGGCATTTTTTAACTGCTTGAAAAAAAGAAACTAAAAAAGTACGAAAATTGAAAAGACTTTGTGGAGAATACGAAAACTATATAGAAAGTGCTTGCCGCGACTATTGTTTTTGCGGAGAGTGTGAATTTCTGGGCGAAAGGCTGGTAAAACGTTTCCGAAAAATTTATACAGAAACGCCGTGAGATACACAATCGCATACACGATCGCGCCGCCTCGATTGTTTTTCACGGTCGGGATCGGTTATCGTTGATACGCATCTCGTCGGTGTCGGTTAGACGTCGCCGGCTGTGTCAGAGAACTTGGCGAGTTCAGAGGTCAGGCAGTCGCTAGCGGGCGATACGCGGCGTGCAAGGCTACGGTCGAAAGAAGTGTCACGCTCTCTCGGTGAAAGAGGATCGGTAACTCGAGTGAGGAAGCGATAAGGCCGAGAGACGAAAAAGATTTCTCAAACCACGTCTGAGACGCGCGCACGCATGAAAAACGACGTGTCGATATGTGTTAGTGCGCGTCGACGATGATAGCTAGTCAAATTGTTAAGATGGGCATTACATTTCACGAACGATCGATAGGAGGAAATCGACGCTGCGCACGCTGTTCCGGAAGCGTGGACGAAAGGATTGAGTGACATTTAGCGCTAGCGAGAGCACGAACAAATTAAGTGAAGACTCTCTGGTGCTGCAGCTTGTCGCGCTTTTTCGCAGTCGAGTGGCGTTTAGTCGTAATTCGATTCCATCGGGATAACGGTACAATCGAACAAATATATCGTTCGCGTGGACGTACGTCTTCTCCGCGAATGATCGAACGACGTTGGATTTAATTATTATTATTATTTGCGACAGTTAGCGAACATTCGCAAACGTTAATTAGTGCTACGCGCCAAAAATCAACGAGGGACCGGAGCAGAAACAGTGACGCGTATCGCTGCACGAGCAAAGGAAAGATGACATTCAAGTTTCGTTGAAATTTCCAATCGTGACGAAAAAAAGTGTATCGACGAGCGTGTCGAAGGCGAAATCCGTCGCATTGATATAACGACACAACAGAACGAAGGAACTGGAGGGGCATGGTGGGCCCCCCTCTGCCAGGGCCTCAGGCCCGGGTGGCCTCTCTGTGAAAAGAAATCTTCCTTCAATCACGTCGTTTCTGCGACATTAGACTGCCTGGAATGATGGTACGTTTACCATTTTTTTTGCAATAGTTAATTTTATCTATAATATAAAAAAATTCACAATTTTATTTGCAATGTAAAAAGGCGAAAGCCTCGAATCAAACGCTCGCTATTGTCATCGCGCGATTTAACGATTGCAGCTGCTTTATTTCAACATCAATTAGTTCAACGCGAAAATCATGTTTTGACTCGAGAATCAGACGGGCGTGTTTGACGGTAAACTTGTAGTAAAGGAAGAAGGACTTTTGAGGGTTTCGCGATATTTCGCGCTTACGGCGTCCGTTTCTTGTCCGTCTCTTCCTTTCGGAGGTACAAAGAAACCGGAAACTACTGACCGTCGTAACTGTATTACGCACCGTACAGGCCCCCGCTGTTTGTATTGAAATCGCGCCTCATGTGTCTCGAAGCATAACACAGGTGCATCCGTACCGTAAGTTTGCATTGCAACACCGCACGTTACTCCCTCATGCTGAATAGCAATAGAGAGAGAGAAAGAGAGAGGATGAGACGAATATTTATTCATCGCCAGGACTTGGAAATTTCGCGTCGTAACACTCGAGGATTTTCATTTACGCGTCGTCGCGCCCGATCGCTTTTATTGTCTCACTTCTGTAATCGATTCATAATAGCGGACGAGTGCGAATATCGGCCGGCGAATTGGATTAAATTGGAAAATTCGTCGGAGAAAGCGCGACGATTGAGTGTAAGATCAACCGTTTCCTCGAGGCGATCGAGAGAGTTGGCGGCGGAGTAGGTTGAAGCGAGCGGAAGTGATTCACCCTTTCAATTCCATTCACCCGCGGTTACTATAAACGCAGGCTTTATTTCTGTCGCTCTCCGTTTAGCGGGATTACTCGGGGGGGTGCAAATGAATGTTTCTCGATGTTTTCTCTACATTTCTTCTCGACAATCAAAATTCTCTCGCGAATATATCAGCTAAAAATCAATCTATTTTTTATTCTGCAACATAACACGCGTAAAACTCGTCTTATCTGCAATTCGCCACATGGAGGATTAGAGAAAGATACGACTCGAGCCATCCTCGCGATATCGAAAATCAACGGTCACGATCTATACCAACCAAAGCCGAGTTGGATCGCGCGTAAGCCGGCGCGGTGTTTGAATACACGGTGGTATCATAATAAATTCGATAATGTCGTACGGAGAGGTTGAAACGAATGATGTGGCAAAAGTGCATCGCGCGGCGCGGCGGGCTCGGATTTTCCTCGTAGCGCGCGCGAGACTCGAGCTAATTCTGTCGCCCGGTTAAACTTTCGCTCGCTCCCTCGTTCACGTCGCTCGCACGCGGGAACGCCCGCGGAGCTGCATGCGCGCACGTAGGACAATAGATTGACCGCCGGCGCGTCTAACGGCATTCTGGCGGTCGAGCGACCGATAATAGGGGCATCCATCGCGCTCTGCTCCGCGCCGGCTCGCGGACATTCCGCCGCGCTGCTCTCCCTGTCCCTGATGCACCGGTTCCGTTGCACTAATGACCGGTTCGCGATCCGGGGCGTTAGTCAGCGGAATCGACCAGTCGTACACGGCGACAACACGGCGCGGCGTGCCGTACCGTTCCGGCATTCTCCGGTATTTCCCAAAATCTACAACTGCAGTCATCGTCGCTTCTTTGAAACCTCGCAACCTTCGTCAAATATGGAGCTTCGACATCGTTACAGTTTGAAATTGTATTAACATACGTCAAAACTACGGTAACATTTTTAACTCTATTTCCTCCAACGTTTTTTCCGCCCCTTTAATCCTCCAACCATGCACTTTCAAGTCAGACGTGTTTTTCAAAATGTTAATAGCTTTGAAAAATTTCCCAGAAATTATTATAATATCTTTGTACCTTCGACTAAAAATCAATGTAAATAACATTTGGAAATCATTTATTTAAATATTTTTTTACACCAATTATATGTTGACAAATACACGTTACGACTCGTTTTATTTAAAAAATCATAACTCACGAACAAACAAATTGTTTGTCACGATCCGTTTTCCGCAACAAACGAGTGTTAGAAACTCGTGGGACACGAAAGGGCGGGTTGGAGGAAATAGGGTTAATAAATTGCAATGACCGAAACTGATCGGCGTCCGTCAATGGAAAGACATAATGAGAACTTTCAAAGTCTAGATAATGAATATATATACATTGCTATTAATGTAGATTAATGTAGAACATTATTATTGTAACATTGCTAGGGAGTTTGATACGAATATGCCGAGCGCAAAAAGGCGACGTTAAAATCTCCAGCGCATTCCGTTATCTTCCGCGTTTCACCGACGAGTCAAAATTAGTCTAGCGATATTAACGTAACTGTGCTTTCAGCGTGGCTTGCTGAGTTCTAGTTCATAGCTATTATCTGTATAAAGCTAGCTTCTCTTAGTAGCCAATCTATACTACGGTGCTCTCGCCGAGAGAACTCCGACTTGTACTATTCCTTTAAATACCGTTCGCAATTCAGCTGAATTAAACTCGTGCGTCAAGTCAGCGCGTTAATTTCTGGCGCAATAGCATGCGCACCTATTTATGCCATTTATGCGAATTAACGTTATTCTAAAAACGTCTCGGAATCGTACATATTGGAGAAAGAAATCGGATGTCCGATTTGAAATTTATCCGAGCCTCGATTCGAGGTCTCGCGTCGGAATCGCATCCCGGCCGCCGCGCGTCAGGAACGAGGATTCGAGTCGCGGGCGGGCGCGTGTTTCCAGTTTAGTGACGCGGTGACGCGTGGCGTGGCATCCCGATTTCTGGCGTGTCATAACAGGGGATTAAGTCTCGCACGGGCGACGCGACGCGACACGACGCGGCGGACGGATGGACGGAAGGACGGGGCCGGCTCATGGCTGCGCGTCGGAATTATTTATACCACTTGATTACGCGTCGCACTGCGCCGCGCCGCGTCGAACCGCGCCGAAGCGACCAGCGGAAACGAACGACTCTTGGTGGTGATGAAACGAAGCGAGCGAGCGAGCTAGCTCATGGCGCGGAGAAGGTCTCCTCTTCCTCTCCCGTCCATCGTCTCCGCGCTGCGCGGATCTCGCTCTATTGACGATCGATGCCGAGGCGACGCTGCAACCGCCGCGCCGCGCCGTCGGCGTATGTACATATACGCTCGGTCGTTATCGGCGACGTCAGGAGCGCGATAACGAGGACGACGACAATTCGCGTCCGACATGGAATGACATTGAGGAAAGTCGACGCATATCTCTCTCTCTCTTCTTTCTCCCTCGCTCTCTCTTTCTCTCCTCGGAACGACAGTCGAGTATTATTCGACGCGGAATTTCGGGGCGTCCTTGAGCGTCTTCTTTTAATACCGCAGAAAACCGCGATATCGATGCAAAAGGTATATACTGCCGTCGTGCGGATTGATGAGACTGATTTGCATTCGTATTTTTAGCTCACCGATTTGTCGAAATCTGACAGATCATTATTCCCAGCGTTGTTTAAAATGTAATACTGATTACCTCAGCAGTATTTATGGCTCACTTAACCTTCAGCTGTATTTAATTTAATATATTAGTTATTACTTAATAAATCGATGGTCGCGGTAATAATATAATTTGTATCAAAAGAGAACGCTATCGACTGTCGTTACCTTACAGCGAAAATAGAGCATGTTGCCATACAAGCGACGGATCCGCCAGTTCACCGCGATAAATTTACTTCGGAGACGAGTGGTCGCTCGTTGAGACTACCGAGATAGATCGCTGCGCGCTATCGACATTATTACGTCTGCACAACTCGCTCAGAAAACGAGATCGCATCACTAAGGAAGATCGCGGCGTTTTTGCTGATTATTTTTCAGACGGTGTATAATCTTGCCGATTTACGTCAATCGTCGCGGTTTATCGCGCGACACGATTCCGCATGTATGTACTACGTTTTCGAAGAAAAAAACACGAGCAATCCCGCGCCTTCGAAATTTTCGATCACGAAAATATCCATCCGACGACCTTGGGCGGATTATTGGAGTACACTTTAAACTAACACTTAAATCCTACGTCTCGCTTTCTGTGATTCTGTCGATAGCCTCTCTCGTGTGTCCGTAAAGGATATCTATATTTAGCCTGCGCATCGAAGATGCAATCGGCGGGAGAGAAAGACAGAGAGGAGTGGTATAATGAAGAAGACAATGAGGAGCGGAGGCAGAGAGTCGTTCGAAATAATCGTGATTCGTGAGCATCTCGCGCGCGCATCGATGCTCGTAAGGTAAATGTACCAATGCCTGGACACGTACCTATATATGTCTGGACATTTTCATCATTTTAGTCGTTAAATAAGTTTATAACGCGAATTAAAATCAAAGAATCAAAGATGAAAATATTTTTCGTATATTATATATGTTTATCTTTGATTTTAATTCGCGTTATACTTACTTAAAAGCTAAAGTGATAAAGGTGTCCAGACCTATAGGTCTGTCTTAAGTGTCCCGGCATTTGTACATTTACCTTATGGCGCGAATGCGCACCGATGCGCGTCGCGACGCGTACGCGACGATACGCATTCACGCCGGCGTCATTCACGGCCTCTCTTTTTCCTTCCTCCGCGTGAACTTGCTCTTTCTCCCGCAACCGCGAGATAGCCTATGTCCGGTTTTTTCTCGCCCTCTCTCGTTTCGATTTTTATGCGCGTTTCTATTCATTCTTTGTCGCACTATTCATTTATAAGACGCAATTCACACCGATTTCGTATATAAATGTGTTTTCTCGCGTCATCTTATCATTATATCTTTCTTTTCTGCAAATGTAAGTATTCAGCTTATTGTTTGTAGCTACGGAATGCGTAAACTTTTTTACATCCAGGAACTATTTATTCGTTCGGATTTTGAACAAGCGTAACTCTCTCGTTTCTCTCGTTTCTTTGTCCAGGAAACGATAGGAGAGGAACCATTGCGCGCAATTCGCTACGCGAAGCGCCCGTGTGCGGTTTACGATGCGATAAACCTCCGCGTTTCTCAAACTAATTTCCAGCGTGACGAAAAGTCGTTCCG